TTTGCATTCCTTGTTTTGTTTTCCTCATCTACCAAATCATGCACTCCTTAGCCTGTTACAGCCTTCTAATATGGCTTTCATTCTTTCATTCAGCCAATGTTAATGAGCATTTCTTTTGTACAAAGCATTGGATACTGAGAATATAGGGTGTGAACAAGACAAACACAATGACTGTGCCTATTAAGCTCATAGTATGAAGGAGAGAACCCACATTAAACAAATAATTATATAGTTTTTGCTCTTATTTTTGTCCTCATCATAGTGATGGAATGAACATATATTTGAGTACTTTAATCTGAATTGCGTATTTTAATAATTATACTGATTTATCATTTTTGGAAGTCCCTAGGTATCTTAGTAATACTTCATGTTTCATTTCAGTCATTTCATTTCTCTTCTAAGATATTTCCATTTTTATAGAGGTTTCTCAGAGAAAAGAAAACTCGTAGTTTGAAATTTCCAGCTATAATATAACTCTTTGTGATTGGTCCCCATGTCATTGTCACTCCCTCCCTATTCCCCCATTTCCAAGTTGCATACCAATGTCAAGGCTAATGCTAAATTACTGATTTTAATTATATTATGTCCCATCCAGAAACTCTGCTAATAGTTCCCTGAGTTATTTACAGAACAGGAGGAGTATAAAGCTCTTTAGCCTTGAATTCAAGAGTCTATAGTATAATATAGCCTGAAACTATCTGCCACCTTGACTGTTCCCTTTGTGGGATCTCATGATCCATAATGATTTGTTGTTGCCCCTGCCAGAAATGCCCTTTTCTACCTTCCCTATCAAAATATTATTCATCCAGGCTGCCCATTTAGTTCACTTAGTTTGAGGATGATGCTGGTAACAAAAAGTCAAGGGTTCCTGTACCAGTCAGCCCCCCAGCTGTGTGTGTGTGTGTATGTCTGTATGTGTGATATATATATATAATTTTTTTTCTGTCTTCCTTTAGAGTCTGACTGGCAGCAGACCATTTTCACAGTACCCCTTTATATAGTTTTAGTTACTATTGATCTTTGTCTGCATTCTGTTAGCATTTTCTGTCTACATCATTGACTTATACATGTATCATCTTACATTTGTGCTTTTTTTGTATATCTTAAATTTTCAACTAGTTTTAGTTTGGATGTGGATTTAGGGGAGATGAGAGCAGAGAGATAGGCATTGCCTTCTCATAGTATCTTCAGACCTTAAGGTACCTTTTTTATGTTCTAAGTAAGTAATGATGGTTGTATAAATTGTGAACTCATTCTTCAGCCTACTTTCAGGTAACACTGAAGTCTAAAGGTATTGATTTGAAACAAACAAATGGAAAATGAGACCCCTGAACATTAAAAAAAAACTTTTATTTATTTAATTACTTGATTCTTGGGCCAACCCAGTGGCTCACTTGGGAGGGTGTGGCACTGGGAGCGCCGAGGCCGCGGGTTCGGATCCTGTATAGGGATGGCCAGTGCGCTCACTGGCTGAGCGCGGTGCGGGTGACACCAGGCCAAGGGTTACGATCCCCTTATCGGTCACAGGAAAAAAAAAATGATTCTTTGGATGTTTTGAACCTATTAAGAAGAATAAGGTCCAAATCAATCTGGAGTTCTTTTTTTTTAATCTCATAGATAAATGAGTACCTACAATATCCAGATCACATCACCACAATGCACTTAGTAGCAACATATCTTGTACTTAACATAATAAAAAATATTTAAAGGGTAAGCCCTGAGTTTCTAGCTTGAAGGTACCTAGAAAGTGGAGAATAGGAATGATGTTTTGTGTTGGTTTGTTTCAGATTGTCTACAAATTTAAGCGACCTTAGAGAATCAAGTTAATTTATTACCCAGGTTCTGGAAAGACTATTCAAAACAAAACAGTAAGCTCTTATCCTACCATTGAGACAGAAACAACAACAAAGTAACAGTATGTGAATATTGTATTATCAAGGGGTCAGATTATGGATACAAGCAATAGTCAATGGCTGTGGGAATTCTGTGAAATGGGACACCAGTGTGGGATAGGCTACATAAGGAAGATTTCTTTGGCATCTGGGTTTTAGTAGGTTGGAATTGAAAGTAGAGAATTTCTCAGAATAGAAATGTTTTCTATTTCTCTTCTGAGAAAGAAAGGTGAAGGTAGAAACTAAGAATAAGTATGATTTGAATAAGCAAGAGACCATTCCTAGTTCCTAATCCTTATGTAATAATGTCTGGATAAGTTAGTTGAGGTGGAAAGCAGAGAAGTATGAAAGATAGAAACACTTGTCTCATAGATTTAAGGAGTTATAGTACTAATCTCTATAGAGCAGAAAAACCTAGTTATTTTAGAGCTGCGTGATTGTTCTGCAGAGAAAAATATCTTTGAAACATTTACATTTCTTCTTTACATCGAGAATAGTATGTCTTATGTTCACACCCTTAAGCAAGGAGAAAAATGCCCAATAATTTGATTTTTTTTTTAAGTGTGAATTTTTACGTGAATTTATCTAATTCTCCCCAGTTTCTAATTATTATGGGAGTATTCTGTTAGGCTTACTTTGCAGATGATTTTTTTTAAGTGTTTTATGAAATCATGTTAATTGCATGAATATATGAAGTATGAATAATTGCCTTTTACATTTCAGGTTTATACTTGGACTTAGATAGGTAGTTGCAAAATTTGTTTGTTTATTGTAGTTTTATGTCTGTTAGCCATCTGTGGAAATCTGCCTATGTAGAGATGAGACATGGTCTTATGAGAGTTGGTTTTTGCTGTCCCTTTTGCCTATTTGGCTTTTTGTGCCTTTCCCACACTTCCTTAGCTCTTTCTGAATTTAATGTTCTCATTTTCTTAAAAACCTAGATAAATTAGATTTGTATTAAAAATCTGCTATAATTCTTAATAGTATTGAACATTTATAATGGCAACTTCCTGACAACTATCTAACACACATTTGCTTCTGCAGTTAAGAGGAAAAAAAGGAAACAACAAAATAAAATGAAGAAGAAAAGGGAAAGGAGAATACAACTTATTCACTTTATTTTTTTATTTATGTATTTACCTTTTAATGTTGTTTTTTGTTATGTATTATGCATCCCTATTTCCCTACTCCCTCTCCACTGTCAGCCCCCCCCCCCCCAAAAAAAAAAAAAAACAACATTGTGAGCTTCTTTCAAGTAAATATTTGAATGAATGTAAAAGGTGTTGAATTCCCATGTGGAGAATAAAGAGTAGACAGGGGAAGATAGCAGCAGCTTTGTTACATGGCTTAAGGTATAATAAGGACAGACTGACTCTGTTACTATCATATTGGCACATTATATTTTCTTAGGCTAGTGGGCAAGACCTTTAGAAGGTTAAGCAGACACTCTTCCCACTTCAGGTTACCTTTTTCTGCAAAGAGGATGTGAAAGTGGAATCTGTTTTGTGTGCTTACTGGCAGTTATCCATGTCTCATGTTTGGGAAGTAGTTCTCAAGAATGGTTGAAACAAGTCATAGGAAGGAACTTGAACTAAGCTTAGCCCCCTTTGGATCTTTTACTTTCAACATAAGATTCTAGGGAACGTATTTATTGATCTGAATATGGGACCTAGCTGAACAGGTCTGAAATTAAAGCTGATTTGAGGCTTATTTATTTTGTTTCCATTCTCAGTTACCATGCCTGAAATTCCTGCAGTTTTGGTAGATGCCACTGAGAGATAATGTTAGCGAATGTCCAGGACCACTCGTTAGAATAGACTACTTTCTTAACAAAGAGGCACCAGAATAGCACACCTATGTAGTTAACTTTGAATTTCTAGAAAAATATAATTGTCAAAATATTAAATCTTCACCCTCTAGTTTTAATCTTATTTTTCTTTGAATCTTTGGCATATATCAGCAAAACAGCATATTAGCAAAATTTAAAGAAAGAAATAGCACTAACAGCACTAAACATTTTCCCATTAGACTGATATAATTGTTAGGCTTTTGATGTAGATTTTGGTTTTTTTTGAAAAGTCTCTTCTCCCCTTTTGAATATTTTAAAACATATTAAAAACTTTCGAAATATGGTAAATCTTGATATCAGTTTTTATTGAGCTTAACAAAGAAATTACTCTAATTTAAGCCTTAAAATTACTTGCACTTTTTTTTTTTTTTTGCACATTTTAAATATTGGTCAACTTTCTTTTCTTTTCTTTTTTTTTGGGGGGGGGTGTGGCTGGCTGGTACAGGGATCGAACCCTGGACGTTGGTGTTATCAGCACCATGCTCTAACTGACTGAGCTAACCAGCCAGTCCCAGTCCAATTTACTTTCCAAGCAGAATTTGTAATCTACCTAAGTTTGAAATAAAAATGGTAGCACTTATCTTTAAGAAAATACCCTTACTGGAATCACAAGCATTAAAATTTGAAATCATTTATTGCAGTGATTCCCAGTCCTTGGGGAAAATGAAATGAGCAGTTGGTACTCCTTGAGTTATTGGGGACAAATTGTATAATAACACAATAGCACAGAAGGGGATGATTAAAACATGATTCTGGCCAAAAGCAAATAAATGTCATCATCTCCTCCTGTTAATACCAGTTACGATCTGTAATCTGAAACTAAGCAAAAATGTGACTCCTTTTTAAAGAAGGACAAGTAACTGATTAAATGCAGTTTGGTGGAAAGTAGAACAGGAGTTATTGTAAAAGGAATCTTTGTTTCTGAAATGTTTTGGAATGACTGATATAGTCTCCTTTATTTCCAGTTAGGAAGTCCAGTGAGAATAAGGAACTTGCCCAATGTCACAGGAATTAGTGGTAGATGATACAGAATTCACCTGCCCTGGTAAGAGGAGTGTTAAGGCTGCCATGCATGTCCTATCTTTATAGGAGAATAGGGTCACTTGACAGAAAAAAGATCTTATTACTCTGATTTATACTGAATGAAGGAAAACTATTTTATTCCTAGGGTGTAAGAATTTGAAAAATTCAGTGATTTTAAGTGATAATCAGCTTTTCATAATGTCCTTCCTTTGCCTTTTCTCCTTTTGTTTTATTAGGTGGTATGGTCAAGAAAAAGACTATAATGTGCTAGTCATGGATCTTCTGGGACCCAGCCTTGAAGACCTTTTCAATTTCTGTTCAAGAAGGTTCACAATGAAAACTGTACTTATGTTAGCTGACCAGGTATGTAAAATTTTGATGAGAGTAAAAACTGGGTATACTACTATTGACTGTAATTTAATTGTTCATAAACCAGCGTATTATAATCCTGTGTGTCACTCTTTAACCTTAGGATAAGCAAAAAAAGATTTAATAGTAGGATGTACTCATTTAAGTGTACTACTCTAATGTGACTTGTAGATGTTTTCCTATGGATGTAGGACAAAAACTAGAATTATATTGGTTTATTACTCACCTGTAGACTAGTAGTTTTCAAGCTACTCCTTCAGACTGAGTTTTAGTGTTGAATATAGATTTTCTTGTAAGACTTTTTTTGAAGAAAGATTGCAGAGTGTGTATATCTACATGTGTGTAGAAATTTTGGATAAATTAAGCAAATTGAATATTGTGTATTATGTGTGGGACTTATAAAAACTGTATTTTTGAGGAAAATAAGACACTGAAGTAATTTAAGGAAGAATTTTTGACCAACTAGATGCTTCTTGAAGTAGTGGATTCTCAGCCATTGGTAGTATTTTAAGTAAGACCTGGAAGATTTTGGAGATATCATGAATTAGATTTATGCATTGGCTGGAGGTTAGATTAAATGGCTTTAAGGCCAAATTTTAGATATTTTGATCTTAAGAAAATGAGTAAGAATTTTTTTTAAAAATTAAGGTTGGGGGAGATAGGGTCAGGAACAACCTTGAAGGAAAAAATAATACAGTAAGATATATCAAGGGATTTACAATTTTTAGTTTTGTTCAAGATTGGTTACCTTCAAGGGCAGGAAAATATTGGAAATACCTTAGTTTAAAATCAGTGTGCTCATAAAAATGCTGTGAAAAAGAATGACATTTCTTAAATATAGATTGGATGTCATAAAGGAAAATGAAGTGGTAAATAGAACTGGCATTTGAGGTAGAATTTTAGAAAGTCTATAAATTCAAAGGATTAGAAAATAGTGCTCATTTTCTGTAATTAGCACCTGATATTCCCCAAGCTTCTTAACATAAAAACTACTGGGTGGCTCAAGCAAATATTAGCAAATTATGGTGTTCGATTTGGGGCACATTATACACTTACTCATTGAAAACCTTTTAATACGTTTTAACTAACATGTAAATGAATCCTAATGAAAGAGTTTTAGCTTATATTTTGCAGGCTGATAAGCATTCATACAGTGAATATATGTTGAAAGCCTACCACCGTACTTAACTACTGCGGGGTGCAAAGAAGACTAAGAACTTGTCCATTCCCTCTAGGAACTTAGAGACTAGGAGAGAAAGATGGAAAAATAATACGTTCAAAGTTCTTTGCTAGAAGTCTGTGTTGGGTACACTGGTAACATATGAGAAAGAATGTAATTCCGGGGAAGGGTGTTGCAAGAAAGGTTTCATTTAAAGCTAAATCTTGCTCTGTAGATGATAGATAACACTTCAAGTAATATGTGCTGTTAATTGTCCTTCATTTGACTTTTCCCCAGTAATAGTCACAGTTTAATAGTGGGTATTACTTAGCTAGCACAAGTATGTACATTAAGTGACCTAAATATTTTTACTTCCTTTAAAGGGTAAATTGCTGCTGCAGGTAAAGGAGGTGATATTTGTACATTGTATAAGGGTATAAGTAGTTTAAGTCAGGGATTACCAGTTTGTTTTCAAAAGACATTTGTTAAGGTAGAAATTTAGAATCTGTAAATCCATGGTAATAAAAGCTCTAGGGAAAATGGGGACGAATGAAAATAGAATCATGATACATACTACTGAGAAGAGCAAGAACATATGGGTAGAAAGATAATGTTGGCAGTTTTTGGATATGGAATACGTTAAAAAATACAACTTCTGGGCCGACCCCGTGGCTCACTCGGGAGAGTGCGGCGCTGGGAGTGCAGCGGTGCTCCTGCCGCGGATTTGGATCCTATATAGGGATGGCCAGGGTGCTCACTGGCTGAGCACGGTGTGGGCGACACCAAGCCAAGGGTTGCTATCCCCTTACCGGTCACAAAAAAAAATACAACTTCTTAGTAAATATCTTGCAGAAAAGACAGACATAATTAATAATATAAAAATTAAAAACTTTTTTTTGTATACAGGAGATGCTGCAAACAGAAGACAAATTAAAAAAAAATTAAATCTATGTGCATAACAACAGATATGAGTTGTCTATATGCAGACAACTCCCAAAAATTAATAAGAAAAGGGCAAGCCAAAAGAATAATAGGCAAGGAATTTGATGTTTCTTAGAATGTAACTCCAAATCACCAGTTAAAATGATCAGATGCCCAAACTAAGTGGTAGGGAAGTAAAAGTAAGGGGATACTCTTTTACCTGTCAGATTGACAAACTTTAGAAAGAACTGAAATAACTTTGCTAGTCAGAGAAAGAATACTCTCATACTACTGGTGGAATATTAATTGTTATAGCCTAGTTTGAAAGGCAGTCTGATGTTATTTGTCAAAATGAAAAATATACATACTCTTTAACCCCCCAACTCCTCATAATTGTATGGGATTTATAGCCCGTAGAAATAAAAGTACCGGTAGATAAGGATATATGTAAATTAATCGTGTTATTGTTTATAGTGGGAAGAAATTGGAAACAATGAGAGTACTGTGAATTGGAGAATCATTACGGGAAACCTATTTATACCATGGAATATTTGTAGTCATTAGAAAGAAATTTAGAGCTATACCGTTTCACTTGGCATAATTCCAAGAAATTAAGAAAAGCTTGTTAGAATGAAATGTTTAATATTCAGCTTTTGAATAGGGTTATATAAAATCTTATGTATGGAGAAAAACATGGGAGAGTCCAAAAAACATGCAAGAAAGTAACCTTCAGCATATCTATGTCCCCATTTACATAAAAGATATATGCTTGTGTTATAGATACCAATTCCCAGGAATGTTTAGTTAGAACAAACAGATGAGAATAAAATGAATAGAATGCTTCTATCTCAGTTTGAAACAATAACAACTACTTATAACTGTATCTACCCAATGGTTGTCATCTCCCATTCCTGTGGGGGTTGGGGGGGGTGTTGGTGTGCGTGTGTATGTGGGTGTGGGTGTGTGTGTCTGTGTCTGTGTGTGTGTCTGTGTCTGAGTTTATATGTGTATGTATTCATATATGTTTATAAGAATAGTATGGAAGTAGATCTGGGTAGTACCAAGCTGTTTTAACACAGGTTACCTTAGGGGGCACTGGATTGAGGGTAGAAAGCTTTTACTTTATTTCATTTATTGTAATAACTGAAAGAATTCTAAATGTATTACTTTTGTAATTCACAAACACCAAGTTTTCCTATCAGGTTAGACCCTGTCATATTTTCAACCGGTAATATTGGAAGGACAAGCCAGAGAACACTGCACATTTATGCTTATATATCCATCAATCTAGAAATAAATAGAGAGCTTAGTTGTACTTTCCACTTAATTTTTTCTTACGCTGTCTTTGTAAACTCTAAGTAAATAATTGAGATTTTGAAATACTTGAGAAATAATGTGTTGCTTTCTTTTGTCACTTAATTCTCTCTCCTTCCTTTCCTTTTTTCCAGATGATCAGTAGAATTGAATATGTGCATACAAAGAATTTTATACACAGAGACATTAAACCAGATAACTTCCTAATGGGTATTGGGCGTCACTGTAATAAGGTTAGTCAAATGCTCTTTGCATGAAAGAACAAAGAGTAAAATATCGACAAGAATTGCTTTGGTAAACTTCCAATCTTAAAAAGCCATAGTAAATTGAATTTGCTGTTGATAATTGCTTTAAAAGATTGTGCTAGAAGGATAATCAGCTAACTCTATTAACGTGGTAACTTGAAATAAATTCCCTCCAACTTACCCAACCAAGGTTAGTTATCTATATGGAAATATAAAATTCCAAGGGCTTTATAATAAACTGTAATTGTCTGTTATTTAACTGGTGAACAGTTGAATTTATTTTTCAGTTCACTCGAGTAGTGAAAAAAACCCCATATACTTTTCCTCCTGAATGCTAAAAATCAGATTTTAACCTTTGGCTCTGAAGTGTGGGTTTTTGTGCTTGTGCCAGCGTGGGAACCACTGACCCATCTGTCACCATGGTGTTAACATTTGCTGACTGAGCATGGTTGATAATGAGAATTCTTCTTCAGTCCTTGGATTTGTGTATTTAAAAGGATAACTTTGGGGCCTACTTCAAAAGTGGTTGACAGTTTCTTACTTAGGTGCCAAGTTGGGTGAGTTCTCCCCCCTCCCCTCTCCCCTTTAAAAGGAAAATATAGACAAGTGAAATGAACATTTGTACAACAAAACTAGTGTTTATTGGGGTCTCTGAGATGGTTCAACTTATGGGGTGATTGGGTTTTAGTTAGTGACGCATGATTGCAGTTAAAAACTAATTGTGTTGAAATTTTTTCTGCAGTGATTAGCTTTATTGAGTGAATTGCTTTCTTTATCAATTCAATGTTGAGCTCGGGCAGACAGGCAGCATTGGCAATGCACTAAGCATGTTATGATCTGATGATCTGATAGAAATTCTAAACTTCAGGGCAACTTGGGGGCTTTTTTGTGTTTTTTTTTGTTTGTTTTGTTTTTGGAAGGAAGATTCCCATTTGTTAAACTATTAGGGAATGTTTGGTGTTTTTAGGTCTAGCTATAAATGTTTACCTTTGTTTGCCTGTATGAATGCCAACTTGGAGCCATTACCATTAGAACTGGTGTTATCTGTTAATGTGTGAGATATTAATGTTGGTCTGACCCAATTTTAGGAAATGAAAATTTTTTTCATTGAGTTTTAAATAATGAAAGGCGTTTAAATCTACGTATAACTTATCTTGTCATTCCCAAATTGTATTTTTTAAAAAATATATTATGTAGCTTCTCCCTTTGAAGCATCCAGGTTCTTGTTATTACAAAGCCTGGTAATTTGTTTGGAAAATAATTACTGATCTTAATTTTTTGGGACAATTTTGTCAGTTTGACTCGCTCTGATCTTTTTGTGGCCATTTCCTAGCCTTCTCCTTCCCATTTTCTTACCCCCTAAAGACCCGTTATCCCCATGTGATCCCTGTTCTGCATGGTGACATTGCAGTACATGGTTTTGCCTTAAATTTAAATAATGGCCTAGATAATATAATTTTGCACTTTTTTCCCCCGTCCTTAAGAATAGCTTGTTAATCACACAATTGTGTTAGGATGTCCAGGTTGCCCGGTGGTGAAAATCTTTTTAGGATCTGTGTCCTCCCTAACAGATATTAAAAAGAATTTTGTGAAACTGCTTGCTATTACACAGTTTGGGAGAAATCCTGGGGTAGAGGGAAGTGTTTTACTCAACTAAGATTTAGATTCTAGGTGTTGCTGTTGAACATTTTAGATTAGTGTTTTGTTTATGTAATTGGTTTTTAGTGTTTTCTGTATTATAGTTTGAAAAATGCCAGTTATGTAAGACTGGGTTCTTTGGTCAGCTTGTTTCAGTAGTTTTCTATTGATGGGGGAGAAAGGTTTTGGGGGGCTTTTGAGGTCGAATTTTAAAGTTAAATTTCTTATTTGGAAAATTGTCTGAATTTGATATTTTAGGAGTGGCTACTCCAACCTTAGTGATTTTGTTCATCTCTTCCTGTAATCAGCCCTGCATGCTTATGAAAATAAAATTTAAGGTGACTAAATGCCTTCTACCTCTTCCTTACTGAAGATTTTTTTCCCATATACAATCTTTTTTTGGGGGAAGGGCAGATTGTGGTACCAAAGATTGCAGATCTAAATTCCCCATTTTTGATTAAAAAAATTAAAGAGCCAAATGTCACCATTGCTATCCCTGTTTCAGGCAGTGACACAATATAGTGGCATTAAAAACCTGAGTATTCCAGAATTCAAATGTTCTTAAGCATGTGATTCTTATTTGGAAAACTGAGAAGCTACAGTGCTTGGTGGAAGAAGGATGGCATTTGGCTACCCTGTTCTTTCTCTAATGCCTCGGTGTTGCCTGTCTGCGCCGGCCATTGTTGCAATGTAAGCAATACTGTTTGATGCACTGCCACCCTCTATTGTCTGTTTAGTGTTTAGAATCTCCAGTGGGGAAGAGGAAAAGAAGCATGACTGTTAGTACTTCTCAGGACCCATCTTTCTCAGGATTAAACCAGGTCTGAAACTGTCTCCTATTCCAACCTCAATCCCAAATTCATGTGCTTTTCTTTTTTATTGTTTTATTTTGATTATTTTTGTTTTGTTTTAATTCTGGAGAATGTAGATCTTGCTCAAGCACCTCTTACGTTGGCATTATTCAGACATACTTGGCAAACATACATTACTAAGATGTTTCTTTGTGGCTTTGCTTAAAACTTGTAAAGTTTAGATAAAACCAAAATGAAAATAGGATATTACGTTTACATCTCTGACATCCATATGAGGAAATGATATGTTGGTCTAGTATTGAAATTCTATACCTAGTGGTAAACTTGAGATAGACTGTTTAGTTTTTAGAAATGTATTTGGAGTTGTAGAAATATATTTAAATTCAGTTGCATCGCTGCTGTATAGTGAATATGTGCTGCCTCACCTCTCTTCCCCTTACTTAATGAACTTGAGGTAAATGTAGATCAGATTTTAGATCTAGTTTTCTAGAATGGATTTACCTCAGTCTGAATTCTCAACTTCCACCAAATAGATTCTTAAAGAGCATTATATGCTCTGGAACTAGAAAACATTGCATTCTTAATATAACAATAATATAATTTAAGCACTTATCAAACTGTATGGTAGAGCACTATAAATAGTACATAAGATAAATTAAATGAATGCATAACCTCATGATTTAGTTTTTGGCAGGCTAGATAAACACCCCAGTAATTTTCTAAATATTTAAAGAAAATGTATGCAGAGCCTTTCTCATTTTCTTTTACTTTGTAGAGGTTAGGTTTTTTTTTACTGTATGAATTTTAACACAAAGGAAAATAGACATTTTTAACCACAAAATTAAAAATTTTTTAGGTATGTAAATTTTCATGCTCCTGAACAAATGAATCTTAATCATTCAATTTAGTATATACACTGAAAAGGAGGTATTAGCATGAGTAATCCAAAAAAAACCCCCAAAATACTTTGTAGTACAAGTTGAGTATCCCTTATCTGAAATGTTTGGGACCAGAAGTGTTTTGGATTTCAGATTTTGGAATACTTGGAGATACTTAATGGTTGAACATCCCTTATCCAGAAATCCAAAATGCTACAATGAGCATTTCCCCTAAGAATCTTGTCAGTACTCAAAAAGTTTCATAATTTTGGAGCATTTTGGATTTCAAATTTTTAGGTTAGGTATGTTCAGCCTATACCTTAATTATCCACATGTATCATTTGGGTAATTGTTTAATCCTTTTCCATATTGCCCACTCTTATTCCAGGGACTACCTCTTGCTGTTACAAATGTTTCAGAAATTCAAAGTTATTTTTATTCAGGCAGAGTACCGACTATTGTGACTAGATCTTGGTTGGGGAGAGTGAGTGGATGGTGGGTAATTAGGCACATTATAAGAATATAGTTTTTTAAAACTCTGGTGCCTCAGTTTTACTTACCCATTCATTTACACATTTTACTTGTGTTTTGTAGCATAATCATTTAATGATTTACATATGAAGTTGTATTAAATTGTTTATATTCTGTATTGTATAGGTTAGCTAAATTGTGAGGTAAAGTGACCTTGTGAATTTTTTGGAACGGCAGGGGAATTTGAGCCCTGTTTAGGAGAAAAATTGCTGCAAGTACTAAAAACTAAAATTAACAAGTGTTTCTGAAGAAAATGTACCTCTATTGAATGTAATTAACCCCAATTCATCAAACATTAACTTATTTCCATGTCAAAGAATTCCTTTGAAGAATAGGCTGCATTCTTTAAAATAGGCACAAATTTTACTTACATGTAATTAGTAAAAATCCACAGATAAAGCAGCTTGACTAACCAAAGAAATTTGCCTGTGTCTTTGCATATACAAGCCTATAAAATATACATTATCTTATGCTTATTTGATATTGACTTTTTCTCATTTTGTTCTGCCTTTACATATTTATAGCTGTTTGGTTGTATCCTTAGTATCATGTGGTTTCATGTAAACCGTTCCATTATATGTCTATATTAATTTTTAAGTTCAGAGCATACAGAGAGCTACTAACGAAGCTTGATAGGTACCCAAAGGTAAAGAGCTACAAAGAAATTTTTTACTTTTATTTCAAGTAGTTTCTTTTCAGTTGTGCGCTGAAAATAAGATAGCTTTGTTCAGTTGTGACATTTCTTTTCCTGACTTATTTTCAGTTTTTATAAGAGGAAATTTTAAATTGATTTGCTTTTTAGTTTTGATATTAAAGATTGAAGTGTTTAAGAAGATAGTGTTCATATATTTTTAGTCTTCTTAATAAATAATGTTTCCTCCTTTAGCATTGTGGAAGGAAAGAACTCTAGTGAACACTGAATTTCTGTAAAGCATTCTTTTGGTTGCGAGAAAGTGTCTGGTTACTGAGTCACACGAGGAACTATGAATGTAGATTTAGACATGAATGAAACTATCAGACATAATCATGTCAGAGCTATTCCCCTTTTCCCTCCATTTTGAAGTACTAAGGAAGCAATCCCAGAAAATATCCCCTAAAGGAAATTCTATGTACTAATTACTGTTCGTTCAAAATCTACGTTTCTTAAGTATATTTTAAAAATACCTTGAAGCCAAATGCCCTTTTGTGTTTATTTTTTTCCATGTTTTCTGTTAAATAAGAATCTGCAGAACTTAATCATAATTTTTGTTTTGCTTAACAGACACGACATATATTTCACTCATTTTTAACATTTGTATACTGAACCGGTTTTCATGTCAAGAGAAACATACAGTGTGAGCTTTATTTCTCTTAGTGTTTTATAACACTGACTTTCCCATATTCCTATAATAACTTGATTGCTTAGGAAGGGAGCTTAGTCTTACTACTTAAAGAGCTTTCATTATCTAATTACATTTTACTAATAATTTAATCTTCATTCTTTTATAGTAGACTAAGTGAAAATAAGTATCTTATTGTTTACATGGTATTAGAAGCTCAAATGTCAATTTCTTTATCGTCCAAAGTATAACTGAGAATAGGTTACAGTACCTGGCTCAGATAGGTGTTACTCATGCTCCTAAGAGAGGCACTTGGTCAGATCTTTTTAACCTAAATCAACAACTTATTTTATTCTTTTTTTGACATAGACCCTAACAGGTTAGGTTATCAGATTTCCCAGAACATCATAGATTATAAACTGTTGCAGAAGGGACTCTCAATAGCCTAATGGAAAGAAGAACTACAAAATTTAGGCATAACTAGAAAAGAACAATAGTCTAGAGCTGTGTAGTGTAAGGGCACATAAACCTGCCTGGCTAGATAATCTTTGTAGACATAACTTTATTATAGCATAGTATAATAAATGATTTTATGATAAAGGTCAAAATCTTAAGTTAAGGTTATTTATTTTTGCTTTAGAAGGTAGGTAAGCATATTTTGGATTTCTTTTCAAAAATAGTGGGTTTTTTTCTTTTAAAAGTTTTAGTTGTGGAGAATAAACTTGAATTACTTAGGGAAATCAGCTACATTATAAATGAGTACCATATTCCCTGGGCACCATCTAGATGAGATAGCACTAAACATTTTTTGTTCTAAAATACTAGTTTTGTTTTAAGTTAGCTCATTTATAAACTGCTTATTGTAAACCACCATGATTTAAATGCTAAGTGCCTTTTTTAGATTTTTTTTTTCCTTTTTTTTTTTTTTGTCTTTTTTCATGTCCGGCAACGGATCGCAACCCTCAGTGTCGCGCCTGTACCGGACCGGGACCGGCAACGGGATCGCAACCCTCGGTGTCGCGCCCGCACCTCGCTCAGCCAGTGAGCGGGAACCGGTCTATATGTGGGATCTGAACCCTCGGCCGGAGCGCCTCTGCGCTCCCAAGCGGCGCACTGTAGCAGTGCGCCACCGGGCCGGCCCGCCTTTTTTAGATTTTTTAAATCAACTTGTTATATTTTTGAGAAGTTCAATCTGATCACAGGCATAATATCCGTGCAGGATAGTAGAATGTAGTGCATGCTTCTTTAGGAAAGACCTTTTTTTGTTTTATTAATAAAAAGTCTTGGTTTTGTTGGCAATATCAGGTTTTCAGGGTTGTCTTATTTTAGATAATAAACGTTCTGTTGGCATACTGAAGAGTGGCCTTTGTAGGAGGGAGAAGTTCCAGATAGCTTATGTCTAGATTTTGAAACCTCATGCTTGTTTACCAATAGTAACAGGATATCAGGTTTCATTATGGCAAACAGCACACCTGTCAACTCTGATGTTAGGCATATATACATTTCCCCACTTATTTTTATAAAAACAGGCTCCTAAGTGTATAATAATGAACTGGGCCTGTGCAAATGACAAGGATAAACTACTAAATTTAACTGTTTTTTTTTAACTTGATTTATTGGCGAGGACTAGTGAAAGCTTATTGGGGTGTTAAGTCTGTTCATTATCTGTTCTATTTAAGATACTTTATTTTGGTATATTTGAATATATAGAATAGGTGCCATTTAATGAGTAAGAAGAAGTATAATTGAACAAGGTTGGAAACCTAATGTCTCTTTATTTCTCTTTTAAAGTTATTCCTTATTGATTTTGGTTTGGCCAAAAAGTACAGAGACAACAGGACAAGGCAACACATACCATATAGAGAAGATAAAAACCTCACTGGCACTGCCCGATATGCTAGCATCAATGCACATCTTGGTATTGAGCAGAGGTAAGTTTGAAAATTGAATGTGCTTAAGAAGTCCGTAGAAGAAGCCATTAATGGGTTTTAAAAATATTTTAGTTTTTTACAGTGTTTAAGGATGTCTCTTGGCTGAGGGTTTGAAGGATGCTTATTAATCATTTTACCTGCTGCTTTACAGTGCAGAGAAGCCAGTTAAATGAGATCTTTTGTTTTCTTTGTTGAAGTCTGTCTCTTGGGGAGAAAATATTGCATGATGGAAAATTAGAAACGTATACGCAATTTTAATGTTTCTTTTGCTGCTGAAGATAGTACCAATTTTTTTAATGCTGAGCTTGAGGTTTTGTATTTTAGTGATGCAAGTTAAGTTTTGGGAAGAATGTATTGTTTATTTTTACAAGGAAAATGTCATGAGAGTCCTAATAAACCAAAAAGGGGTTCTACTCTTCCAGTGAAATACATAAATTAATATGATCTAGTTTAAAATAAAAAGTGTCATAATCTCTGCTCTTCCTGTTTCTTCACTTGAGTTCTAGTTTTTCAAGTTCCCTTCATCTTTTACCAATCATTTTTTTGCTGTTAAAAAAAGCATAGAAATAACAAATGATGTACTTCTAGATTAGAGGACTTTATAAGAATTTCAAGCATAGGAACTATCCATGAATTATCTTAATACTCTGGGTTAAACTATAATTTTACTTTTTCTGTATGCCCGAGTATTACCTATCCTTAAATACGTGTATCTACCCAAATATGTGTTTGTGTGTGTATATAAATACATGTGTATGCGTGTGTGTGTGTGTGTGTATACACACACACACACACACATTCATATAGGAGTTTAATTAGCTTTAAAATGTTGATTCATTTCATCACCCCTAAAAAAAAAAAATTTTTTTTTTTGAGAGCTACACAAAGTGGTCTGGTACTTGGTTCCATTTTTAACCTCATTTAGAGAGTTGTTTAGCTAAATCCTTTTTGTTCTTTAATAATTAAAGTGTAACACTGTGTTGGTTTTTATAATTTTGGATTTTATGAGAAAAATTTGTTTAGAGGTAACCTATTATGGACTTTTTTATTACCTTCACTAAGTACTTTTTTGCATAGGACACCAAATAGCTCTTTTTTTCTCATTTGGGAAAATTTCTTTTGTGTACTTGGCTTTTTTTCGTGTGTTTTCTTCAGTAGTTCCAGTTTATGAAGTTACATTCTCTTTTCTAGTCGCCGAGATGACATGGAATCATTAGGATATGTTTTGATGTATTTTAATAGAACCAGCCTGCCATGGCAAGGACTAAAGGTAAACCAGACTCACACTACCAGTTTCTTTCTTTC